GCAGACTGAGGATATGAACCCAGGTCTTTTGCTTCCAAATACAACCTCTTTTCTACCATACCATGCTCTCTTCCTTCAAGGCCCAACTCAGACACCATTTCTTCCCGTTAAGTTTTCTCAGACCTGTCCCCTTTTCCCTCCTCCCATTCCTCCTAGGCTGTGCCCTGGCCTCCCTCTTATCCAATCTCCCTTGTATCTTAGTTATTTATGTCCCTATCTCCCTCTCCCCCCTTTTAGATGAAGCTGCACAAAAACTAGGTCCATGTCATTTACCTTTTTATCTTTCCCAAAATACACAGTAGATACTTAAATACATGTTAAATTTGGGAGACTGGATTGAATTAATCACTATGAGAGTTTTCTAGTGATTTTAGGAAGACAAATGTGTCTGTTTAGATTAAGAGTTCAGCTCTCTGGCCAATGACAAAAACTCAGAATGCAAGAGAGGTTGATCAAGTCTAGCCAAGATCTGTCGGATTTGAGAAAGTTCCCATGGTTTCCACCAGCAGCTGGAGTGCAAAGAAGCTACAGAGTGGGGGTGGCACCCATCATAACAAGTTCAAGGCCAATACCACTGCCAGAGGTCACAGTCAGCTTTCACCAACTGGTGGAAAGTTTTCCATTAAAGACAGACTCATGACAAGATTCCTGGCCACACTCCAACATCCAACCAAACTTATTCTACATTACCCCACATACTGTTAAGTCAAAGGCTCCATGACGCTGCACCTGTGTAGCAGGGAGTGAGTTAGGTCAGGCTTGGAATCAGCAAAGAACTGAGTTCAAATCTGGCTCTGACAGGTATTAGTTGTGTGACCGTAAGCAACATTTCCTCCCTCTCTGCCTCTGGCAACTCACTAGGAGGTGGCTACTGAGTCAGACACCAGAAGACACCACCTCTCTTTCATGGAACACCATTCCCTCCCCTAACACTCAATAGAAATTCAACAAACGGTAAGTGAAGGTACAAGAACTATGTTGGACTAGATGTTGGTCCTCAGGGGAAAATATAAGATTTTTTTTAAAAAATAATAAAAATACAACTAGAGAATCAATTATATTCTTTTGTTTTTAATTATTTATTTATCTTTATGCTATTTTGGAAGACACTGGGAGAAGGAGGAAAAATCAACATAAGGCAACAGCCTAGACTAGAAATGAAGGTTCGATTTGGAGTCACAGGGTGTGAGTTCAAATTCTGCCACTTCCTAGCTGTAAAACCTTGAACAAGCCATTCCTTCATCTGTAAAATGAGGATGTTGGATTAGGATGGCACTGTGGACAGCCAGAGGACTTTGAGTTTGAATCCCAACTCTTGTCATTTGCAAGGTAGGGGACTTTGGGCAAAATCCTCAGCCACTCCCCTTCCCTAGAAGCTCCAATGGCTCCTTACTGCCTGTAGGATAAAATGAAAACTCCAGCCTTTCTATCAACATCCCACATAACCCCACTTCACGCATCTACATTCCAGTCCAATCAGACTATCTGCTGCTCCTAAGACACCACACTCCAGCACCCAGCTCCTTGATGTCAAGCAGCCAGTCTTGGAATGTGCTGATGCCTCACTTCTAAATCAAAATATTCCTAGTTCCCCTCAAAGCTCAACTCAAATGTTACCTCTCACAGGAAGCCCATCTTGATCCCACCATATGCCAGTGCCTTCCTCCAGAAGTTACTTTTTTGTATTGAATATTTTGAATACGTGTCACTCTCCCCCCAAGAGAATGTACATTCTTTGAGGGCAGGGAACTGGTTTTTGTCTTAGACTTTCCAGTCCCTGACACAAAGTAATACATATTACTTAATTAACATTGTCTGAATGAATTCATCTATAAAACAAAGGGGTTAGATCCCTTCAGATGACCTCGAAGGCTCCTTCCCGTCCTAAACCTACAAGCCTGTGAACCCTGAGCAAAGGTCAGCAGGTGTGGTGGTTAGCGCCCACACCTCCAATGGGATTCACCTGGGTCTAGTGATAGGCTCTACATCAAAGCAGCCAACTATTCCCACCCCCAACTGCCGTCAACTATAATTACAGCAGCATCCCCCCTCCCCCACCAGTCTAGGCCCCAAATGCCCTTTAATTAGCTGATGGGCCTCCAGGCTTCTGAGGACTGTAGAGTTCAAGGTTGCCATCAGGGTTTACCCCCAGAGTCCCATGAATTCCACATTTATAGGAGCAGTCTGACTCATGACTCTACCCTATGCACTATCTTCCACGATTCCATCTGGAGCTTTATCATTAGACTTTTGCTCAATCAATCAATCAATCACCAGCCCAGCGTTCACAGCCAGCCAGCATTTCTCCTTTTGGAGAGAGACAGAGCAACACGAAAGATGACCCCTAGGATCCAGAACCCAACCAGCAAGCCGCTGTTATACTTGGAAATTTCTCTTGGCTTCCAACACAATCGCACGTGGAACCCTCTCAGAGCCAGAAAGGACTTCAGAGGCTACCCAAACAAGCATCCCTCGACAATATCACCAACAAAAGACCAGTAAGTCTTTTCTGGACACCCTTCAACAAAGAGCAGGGTGGTAGAATCAACATTTGGTTTAGTTTTTGGCTCAAACTATTACAAATTTTATTTCCAACATGTTTTGCCTGCTAGAAACATTTAAAAAAAGAGCAAGTTTTGGACTTGATGTTAGCATCTTTCTGATGGTCTAGTATTCCTTTCCAATGGCCAAGAAATAAAAATCAGCCCTTGTGCTCCTGGGCATTTCTGAAGTGTTATTAATTCTCTTTTTCCATTCACTTGACTTAAATCCCCTTTTGGCTTTATCCTAATTGACACGGAAGGACTCGTTCCTTTGGGGTTTGACTAGTGTCTTTAGAATTCTCTTACGGTTCCTAAGTTCCTTGATGCTAGGGCCTGCTTCATTTTCTCTGCATTCATTTTGTCCAGCACACAGTAGGCACCTGCTGTACTGAACCACATGCAGGGATATGAAATTTCAGGCCCACCTAGCTTAAAAGCATGATCTTCTGAAGATTCACACCAAATTCCCATCTCCTCCAATACAATAGTATTGGTCCCACCTTGGATATCAAAGCACTTTGCTTCCTTCCCTCTCTACAATCTATTAGGAAGCACCAAGAGATTTCATTTTAGGGTTTGTATTCCAAGAGCCTAGCACAGAGTCTGACAAATAAGAGACATTTAATAAATGGTTATTGATTGAATTGACGGGACACTCGAGCCCCCTCTTGTCGCCCTGATGGAGCAGCTGAAAGAATCTGTTCTGAAGTCTGCTGCCTCTTCCTCACAAGTCAGGTGTCCAGAATGGCCATCCCACCCTGGGCACAGAACTCAGAGACTGTAAACCACAGAGAGCTCCTTCTTGTTGGAAGGAAGTAATCCGTAGGCTTCCCACCACAGAAGGCTCCCCACCTCCAGCCTGAAACCCAAATACTGGCTTTCTGAGAAAGAATGTGAATGGCTCTATTCCACAGCGTGTCCCTGAGTTCTTCACCAATCAGTCAGGCTAGCCAGTTCCCATCGAGCCATACCCCAACACCCTGCTTGCTCCAGAAGGGCAGAAGCGGAAGCTCCAACCTAGACGAGTCCCACAGATTGTATACCAGAGACCACATCACTGAGTCTTATTAATTTCTTCCATTTGTAAAAAACTAAGATAGTTCGAATAAATCACTAACTTCCCAAAATGTGAAAATTCAACAACTCTAACATGTTTTCATTTTTATGTTTTGGTCTGCTTGACCTAAACACAAAGGCCAGATCTGAACTTCACAAACATCAAGGGGGTTCTCTCACTTTGCTATTTCAAAGAACAGAGCTTGCCTCAAGGAGGGCCCTCCCTCCCTCCAGGCAAAGACAGAATGGCTTTCTCCAACTGCTGGAAAGTTTCCCAACAAACAAGATGGACCCGAGCCAAGATTCCACACCACCCTCCACTAAAGAACCAAACTTGTTTTCTAATATATTGTTTATCTAACATATCGCTTTTGATCCAAAACATACCGCTTTGGTAACTATTAATATTGCTAAGTGGCATAAGCCATGAAGCAGTGTGGCCTAATGGGTAGAGTGCTGGTCCGGGAGTCAGGAAGGCCTAAATTCAAATCCTACCTTTGCCATTTAATAGTTGTGTGATGTTGGGTAAGTCACTTCTCAGTCTCAGTCTCAGTTTCCTTATCAGAAAAATGGGAATAATAAATCTCAATGGGATACGGAGAGGCTCATCAGATATAACTAACATAAAGCATCTTCCAAACTTTCAAGCTCTATATTTTGAGTCAGGGATTGTTAGCATTCATATATCTGATTCCTCCTTCCCCCACTTCCTCAACTCTTCAGGAGTAAATAAGCATATTTGCTGCCTCCCCTGGGAAATGGCCTTTGATTATTACAACCTACTGCCATTAAACAGATGGGTTTTGAAGGTTGTTGTGGGCAAAAATCTCTCCACCCTATGGCCACCCTGGGAATGAACTTCCTCAAATTCAGCAAGGCTGGTCCTAGGATGACAGGCATTCAAGCTTTCATGCTTGAAGCTGTTTGACCAAGGCAGGACATGACAAAGGTCTCACTCTCAGTCTCACACCATGACGAGGCCTCCAAGGAGGGCTTTAAAGGGACAGGGCTCTAGAAAATGGAAATTATGTTACAATATAGCCAATTCTCAGTCCTCAAACAACTGTCCATTCGGCTTACGGACCATTTAGGCCCTCGAGTCTCTTCCTTCTACCTCCAATGATCCGGCTTTGGAACATTTCATTGCTTGTCCATTGGAACATTCATCCTCAGATCTAAGAGGGCACCAAACAGCACCAATCAAAACTTTAGAGGAAGGGGAGAGTGAAATTAATGGCTGAAATCCAGAGTTGGGATTATCAATAGATTTCATTTACAGGATTATCCTTGTCTCCCCAAACCAGATAATCTAGAACTAGCCAAAAAGAATCAGAACATCCATGGAAATCATATGAGCACAACTTGCTCATCAAGACCCAATAAAAGACTTCCCTCACCTACCTCTCTTATATGCCTTTTCAGATGCATGTACACACACTGCCCAGTTTTCCGATAGTGCCTTTCCACATGCTCCCTTCCAAACGCCAGGAACGTATTCATGCACACGTAGAGACCTCCTTCGGAAATCTGAAAGACAGAGACAAGCCAACTTACTCATCTAGACAAATGAGCAAAGAGCAAGGGATCCTAGAACCTGGGGCCCATGGAGCCCCAAGGTTTCTGAGAACAGACTTCAGAGAGTCTGTGGACTTTTTCTTTTAATATTCTGATAACTGCTTTTCAATGTAATTGGTTTCCTTTGTAATTTGTTTCCTCTATATTTTATTTCATGCATTTAAAAATATTCTTCTGAGAAGGGGGCCACCAGACTGCCAAAGAAGTCCATGACACCAAAAAGGTTAAGAAATAGAAGCAAAATTAAAAATGATTCAAGCGAGGAAATTGAAAATTATTTTTCCTGCTTTGAGTTGTTTTATTTTTCCTTTCTTCTGCGACTGATCCTTTTCTTTGTAGACTCATCTATTTGCCCTCTAAAATGGGATGTCTGTGACCTTGGCCCCTGAATGACCTTGGACAAGTCACCTCACTTTTCTAGGTCTGTTTTCCTAATATATAAAATGAGATAATCGATTAAATGACCTTGAAGGTCCCTTAAAGCTATAAATCTATTATTCTATGATTAACTGAAATATTAAGTATTTTCAAAGGCAGCTACAGGAAAGCCCAAAGAGAAAACTGAAAAAAAAAATGATGAAACACTCTTCCTTCTTCCTGTTACAGAGGAAGGGGTTACAAGTATAGAATACTGCATTTGCCATCAACCAGTCATCAATTAACAAGCATCGGTTATATATCTGCTAAGGCCAGGATGGGGATACAAAAACAAAAATGAAATCATCCTTGCTCTCAAAGAGCTTACATTCTATTGAGCAAGACAACATTACATACATATATGTATGTATAAATATACATATATATATATATACCATATGTATATATAATTATTTAAATATCAACATATCTTCTATTTTTATAAATATAAATATATTATTGCAAATATATAAATATATACTATAAATATTCTATACTACAAATATTATTATTATACGTTAATACAAATATGAGCCTGTATTTATAATAATATAGAATTATTCCTGTTCCTGTTTATTTTACATATAGTGTGTACGTAAAGCCTAAATACAAAATATAGTTCATAGTCGCTGTGTTGGCTGGTTGTGCTTGCTGGGTTATGAGTCACGGTTCAATAAATGGTGTATGAATATACTAGAAAAGGAACGTAACATCAAAAGCGTCAATAAAGCTTTCAAAAATAAATCAAGCAAAATGGAGAGTCAGTGTCAAAAGATATGAAGAAATAGGTTTCGTAAGAAATATGAACTATCAAATAACAAGCTAAAAAATGTTCACAATCACTAATAATCAGAGAAAAGAAGATTTAAACATCCCTGACGTATCACCTCCTACTCATCAAGCCAAGATGGAAAACTCACTGTTGGAGAGGCTTCGGGAATACAGGATAGCAAAGCTTCAAACTGATTCAATCCTTTTGGAAAACGATATGGAATTAATGCAAGAAGAGAGGCACATTGTTCCTACCCTTTGACTCAGAGATTCCTCCAGCCTTGGGACTCCATCCCAAGGAGGCTCTTGACCACAAGAAAAGACCCATACGCATAAAAATGCCTGTAGAATTTTCGTGATAAAGCAGGGAACAAAATGTTTGTTTTGAGATTGGCAAATGGCCTAACAAATTAGGGCATATGGGTGTAATGGACCATAACTGTGCCATGAAGAATGATGGACAAGGAGACTTCCTACAACAGCGTAGTGAAGAGTGAAAAAAGCTGAGCCAAAAGAACAACACACCCCTGGTACAATGCAAAGAGCCCTAGTTCTGGCGCCAGAAGGCTGGGGTTCAAACCCACCTCTCACACTTATTACAAGACAACCATTTCACCTTCTGTGACCTCAGTTTCCTCATCTGTAAAATGGAAGTGTTGGTTGAATTGGACATCCGCCACGCTCCTTTCCAGTTCTGAGTCTGTGACCATTAAACCTGTCCCAAATCCCCACGACCATATCCCTGACCAGCAGTTAACTAGCCTCCAATGAGCAGGGAGTCCCACTATTTCCCAAGGCAGTGCCCATCTTGCTTCCACAAATCTAATCAGGAAGCAGCTTCTCTTGACATCAAAGAACATGCAGCATATTATCTATCAGACTTATGGAGAGATGAACAATTTATGGGTAAAGAGATAGAACTCAGTGCGAGGCATACAATGGATAACTTCAATTACATTAAATTTTAAAAATTGTGTACAACAAAACAAATGTAGCTAAGAGAAGAAGGAAAGCAGAAAATGGAGAGCGGGGGTGGGGGGGGAAATACTTATAGACAGTTTCTCAGATCAAGTTGTCACATCTCAAATATTTTGACAACTTCTATCCTGGATTCCTACTTTGGCTCTCTGGAGCTAACTAGAACAAGTCAAATCCTGGCTGTGCCTTTCGCCTACATATAACCCTGGGTGAATCATTTTTCCTCTCTCAGCCTTAGTCTTGTCACCTGTAAAATGGGGAAAATAATAGCATCTACCTCCCAGGGTTGCTGTGAGGATCAAATGAGATAATATTCAAAGAGCACTTTGCAAACCTTAAAGTGCTACATAAATACTAGCCATTGCTTAGTATTGTTATTAATATTATTATTGGCTATGAAAATAAAAATAATAACAATAAAATAAGGGGGCTGGGCTAGGTGAGGTCTAAGGTCCCTTCAAACCTTTAAATCTATAATCCTATGGTTGTTCTTCCACGCATCCCCTCCTGCCAAGCGTCCCTATAATAATAAAAATAATAATAGCTAGGATTTATAGAGTACCTACTATGTGATAAGCCCTTTGCAAAGATATCTCATTTGACACTAACAACCATGCAAGGTCAGTGCTATGATTATTCCCATTTTACAGTTGAGGAAACTAAGGCAAAAAGAGGTTACCCAAGGTCACACAGATAAGTATTGAGGCCAGTTTTTAACTCCAGTCTTCCCAACTCATCTATCTCCCTGAGTTTAAATCTGGTCTCAGACACTTACTGGCTGTGTGACCCTGGGCAAGTCACTTAACCCTGTTTGCCTCAGTTTCCTCACCTATAAAATGAGCTGGAGAAGGAAATGGCAAATCACTCCAGGATCTTTGCCAAGAAAACCCCCAATGGGGTCATGGAGAGTCAGACACGACTGAGCACCAACTTCCTGACTCCAGGTCCAACGCTCTATCCACTGCTCCACCCAGCTGCCTCTTCTTCAACCAATAGATCCACGCTGAAAGTCACTCCCATTGCTACAGCATGATTCCTAGTCCTTTTCAAGGACTTGCCAAATGTCCTTGCTAGAAGATGATACCAATGAACACAATGATCCAGATGGAATCTTAAAAGAGCAGAGTACAATAGGAATTACACTTGTCATGTTATGGACATTAAGGCCCTCTTAAAGCATCCTACAGATCCCATTAGCTTTGGGGGCTGCCTGGTCATGCTGTTGACTCTTATGGAGCTTGCTATCCACTCAGACCCCCAGGTCTTTCATATTGCTTCAGCACCCCTGCTCCCATTCTTTCTTATGCAGTTGATTCTTTAAACCAAAGTGTCAAATTCTCAAATACTGGTAAACAGATTATGTAGAGAGACCTATGGCTCAAGTACACAAAGAAAGATATGATTTTGTTACAGGTATTCGTTCCATTATTATTGTTGTTTCTATTCAGAGATATGTGTTTAGGTCCCACCTTGGGTCCTCCTACCAGGTCTACTCACTTCCCCATCTCAGCTTCTTTGCCTTTGTCCACCCCACACAGGGAATCACTTGGGTACCTGTGGCCTACCCACTCCCCTACAAAAGAAAACACCCCATTACCACAGCCTCTGCAAAACCTCCTGAATTTTTTATTTGAATATATTGCACAATTAATTCCACAGCACCACATATATCAGTCAACAAGCTTTTATTAAGCATCTATTCTGTGCTAGGCACTGGGGCAAATTTTAAAACGAAGCAGTTCCCTCCCTCAAGGAGCTTACATTCTAGTGGGGGACCCAACATCTATACATGTAAATATATAAAAATGTATACAGTATAAATACAAGGTAATGGACAGGATAGTGGGAGGTACTAGCAGCCAGGGAGGATCAGGACAGGCTTCCTGTGGGAGGGAGTAATGAGCTGAGCATTGAAAAGGCCGCGGTGAGGACAGAGGGCATTCTAGGCAAAGGCACAGAGATGAGAGATGACTTGTGAAGAAGACAGCGCAGGTGAGGGCAAGTCACAGAAGGACTAGAAAAGCAGGCTTATCCCAAGTTGTGAAGGCTTTTAACGCCAACAGAGGAATAAAGCCTTCACAGCATCTGAGATAGTTCATTGAACAGCACAGACATATACAACCAAATCAAAAAGTCCACTTCTCTGGGCCAAGACATGAAAAGAGACTTGGGATAAGAACAGCTAACATTCACATAGACCCAATTATCTGCCAAACACTGGACTAAGAGCTCTTTAATTATTATTTCATCTGATTCTCACAACAACCCCGGGAAGTAGGTGCTATTATTTTTTTTTGAAGGTTTTAATTCTTTATTGAGAAATACTTTTCCAGACTCTGTAAATTGGACACTTCAAATAAAAGCAATTCCCGATAAAACCAAAACAAAAATACTTTCAGAAAAGCTTTTAGAAGAGAAAAATTAAATTAAATTAAATTAAATTAAATTAAATTAAAGGTTAACAAGGTCCAGGCAACACACAAGAAACCTGCAAATTTTGACCACTGAAAAACTTCTTAGGTTTTCAAGAATTGACCTTTCAAATTGATTTTTCCCCAAGAAAAAACATCCAGAATGGTAGCAGCTTCTTCTGCCGGCTCTTGTTCAGCCTGTAGTACCGTGAAGAAGTCTCCACATGTTGAGTGAACAAACATCTAATGAAGGGGCTATTTAACTTCAGAGTATCCAGTTTTTCTGGTCTAAGAGGTAGCAGCAACCACGGCCACCTTCTGAGCAGCTTCCTTCTTGGCATGAACGGCTTCCTCCACCTTTGACCGGAGGGATTC